TCTATACGGTTTGAATCCGTTGCTCTAGTCTCCGATTGGAGTACAATCCTGGAGACAAGTTTCGGTTAGGACATACAGGTCGGTGGTGCGGAGTAGGCCGGCGATCTCGGCTCTCTTGTTGAGGAGACTGCAGACGTTGACTAGCGCACCTCTGGTTCGCTGTGGCCCTTGGCGTCTGTCCAAGGACGACTTTGTGGCTTCCTCGGAGTGGTCCCCCGAGGAGTTTCCACGTACTTTTGGTTGGAGTTGGCTGGGCTCGCGCGTTGAATCGGCTCCTAAGGTGTTGGGGTTGGCCTGGATCACCTAGATCACCTATAAGCCTAAGACGCTCCAGGGAGAACAGATCCAGTGCTCGCAGCCTTTCAGAGTATGTTAGTTTCCTTAGGAGAGGGAATATCCGTNTCCGTGTAAAACGGCGTTGCACCTTCTCCGGGACCAGTTTGTCCCGCACTAACACTGGTGCTCACGCTTGGACACAGTACTCTAAGTGGGGCCGTACAAAATCTTGGTACAAACGGACGAGGACCTCTGGGTCTCTAGAGGATACCGTTTTGCGCAGCCTGTACAGTGTTGCATTTGTTTGCAAGCAGCTAGGCAGCACTGGCGTGAGGATGAGAGCGTGCAATTTACGGTGATCCCTAGATCCCTCATCTCGGTGCTTAGCTCGATTTCTTCGCTCGTAGATTTCCCCAGTTGCCGAGGATTACCCACCAGCTCTCCCGTGCACAGAAGTTTGCACTTGCCGCTGTTCAGAGTCAGGCTCCACTCTGTGGTCCATGCTTGTACTATGTTTAGGCCCCTTTGCATCTCTTCGTTGTCAGGAGGAGCTAAAATTTTGGCACCATCGGCAAATAAGAACAGTAGGTTTGCCGCACACCGTACCAAGTCGTTGATGAAGACCAACAACAACAACGGTCCAAGGACGGAGCCCTGAGGCACTCCGCTGTGCACTTGGCCTCCCTCAGAAAGTTTGCCGTTTACCCGGACTTGGAAGGTGCGACTTACTAAATAACTCCGAAGCCAATTTCGAAGTTCTAGGTGCACTCCCGACTGTGACAATTTCATCAAAAGTAGTCCGTGACTGACCGAGTCGAAGGCCTTTCTAAAATCTAGGTAGCACACTTCGACACGTTCACGTTTGTCATGTCTGTCCGTCACTGCATTCAGGTAAACTAACAGATTTGTTAGGCAGGACCTACACCGTCTGAATCCATGCCGAGCTTCCGTCAGAAAGTTGTTCGCTGTAAAATGACTAGTCTTTTTGTCACGAATCACCTTCTTCATAACCTTTAGTACTACTGAAAGCAAGCTCACTGGCCTATAGCTTGAGGCGGCATCTCTGTCTCCCCTCTTATGGATTGGGGTGACTATGGCCGCTTTCCAGTCACCTGGAAGGGTTACTGTCTGGAATGACTTGGTAAATAGGTTGGCTAATGGACGTGCTAAAATACTCTTCAGGAGTTTTAGGATCGCTGGATGTATGTCATCTGGACCTGCAGATTTGTTTTTGTCGAACGCTTCGAGATTTTTTCTACTTACTGTGGCTCGATTAGGAGCTTATCCATAGGGTACTCCGTCGTGATACTGTGAGCCGGCAGGGCATTGACCAGATCCACAGTGAACGACTCTTCATATTATTTTTGTAGAGCGGAAGCCTTTTCTAAGGTAGTGCGCGTTGGGTTGCCACCGGCGTCTTGCATACATCCGATAGCTTCCCTAGTGGCTGCTTTAGACTGTATATAACCGTATGATGCTTTCGGGCACGTCTTACACTTCTTTGCCAGTGTGAGCTCATAGCGTTTATTTGAATCGGACTGGCTCCTATAGTAGGTCTTGCGCTCCTTCAAGTACTAATGGTGGATGTTGCAAAGGCGTCGGCCAACAAGATGAGGTTCGTTTTAACTTGGTCCCAAGTCTCATGGACCTCTGTCGCATCCTCCGGCCATTGGAGTTGTGACGCTGCCAGGAGGAGACCCTCAGTGTCCAATGCTCTATAGGAGCACCTGGGTTCCAGGACCCAGGATACCGGGTGGGTTACCTGGTTTCCATCTCGTTGGGTGTTTGATGTGATGAATCACGGTCTTTGGTGAGCAATAAGTCAAGCAATTTCTCTCCGAAACTGCTGGATGTTGCGTTTCCCTCAGCCAGTCGACTCAAAAGCTGAACCCACTTGGCTTGACCCACTACTTGCCTTAGGTAGGCGATCAATTGGTCATCCTCCTCTGTGGAAAACCAAGGACTACGGTATGTGCACATTATTTCAACTTCGCTTTGGGGTTGTTTTAGAAAGCACCCGGTGGATTGGATGTTTGCTGTCCACAGGTTGGTTACGGCTGTTTGTGTTAGGTGTTCCGCTACGAGTACTAGGGAACCACCTCCGATGCGACCATCAGTGCGATCCCATCGATAGGCCATGAATCCTGGTGAGTGTAATCCTGTGATTGTAACGTCTGGTTTCAGCCACGTTTCAGTGACTGCAATGCAAGTGGGCGTTCCTGCTTCTGCTAGTGTGTCGGGCCATTTAATCATTAGGCTGCAGGCATTGGTGTAGAGAATATCCAATGTGTGCACCGTGTGTTCCCTTAGCGGTAAAAGACTGCACCCGGGGCTTATTTCCGGGTGCCCGTTGATTTTTTTGTCTTAGTTGTAGAGTTCTTCCTATGTGGACTCCCGCAGATTGGGGTTACGGAAATAGGAGGTACCGCTTTTGGCGTTGCTATAACGGTGTCGAAATGGTTTAACAAAAATGCCGATTCATTTGTGGAGAGCCCAGGTTTACGGGTATTAGGGCTCGGTGAAACATTCAGAGTGGAAGGTTGCACCCTTACGATCAGTCTCCTGGCGCTGCCTGGTGAGAGTGATGGCACAATAGCTACACTCTTCCAGCCATTCGCATAATCAGGAACTGCGATGATTTTGCCTTTGGTCAAGAGCTGCGCGTGACCTGCTGCAGCTAACATGGCATCCCGGTGTCTAGGGTTTTAGAACTCTACCAGCGTTGGTCTTGGGTTATCTTCGCTGACAACGTGATAGGTCTCCCTNCCATTTCCCCAGGCGCAGGATTTGCTTGACAAGAACATGCCCTGGGACATTAACAAGTCGTACGATATTGACAGTTTTGGCTTTTCCTGGAGCTTTTGCTTTATTGGTCCTCTTTTGTAATACACTTGCGGCCTTAGGGCTTTTTGGGATTAATTTGGGCGCTAATTTCTGTATGGTCACCTTTAGCTCTTTGGTCGAAGCCTGCTGGACGTACCCTTCGTTTACAGTACCAGTTGCACAGATGGGGTAGAATACGCGAGGGATCCTGGATTTCTTCTTCATGGATGTCATGCATCTTCAACAGACCCACTTCATGAACTTATGTTCCGAGTAGATGCCGGCTGCCTTGACTAAGAGTTGGCTGCATTTGAGATGAATCCAACTGTGGCACGCGTCTCACCGTATGCCTTCTATGAAGTCAGCAATTATCCTATGAAACTGGCTATGGATATGCTCAAATGTGAATGGAACATAAACAGTGCTTGGCTACTGGGTTGCAAGAACGTAGGCTACAATAGAGAGTAGCGGAGAAGAGATAAGTAATCTAGGAGAAACTAAACTGGGTGACCTTTGAACAGTACGGTTTGCAGCCAATCGCTCACCTTGGGTATGTATAGTCATTGAATCCAGCCACCCAGGTACCGACCAGTAGAGTTTTCCAAATGCCGNCTCCGATGTTATGGTGTAGTGCACAAACGGTACTTTGTCTGAATACGTACGGATAGTTCACCAGGTTTGGAATGGAAGACAAACCGCTGCGTAGTATTACCCGATGAACGAATAAAGCAGCAACCAGGCACCAAACTCTCGATCGGTATACGATGGCGAGAAGACACAAACCGGATGGCAAGGTTTATTCGGCACAAGTCAACAACAGGGGGTTATTTACAAAGTGGGTCAATTCGGGGGGCACCGGTTCATGTTCCGTCGTTTCGTCTGTTGTTCTTCTAATCTCAGCCGGTCTATTGGTCATAGTTGCGTTCA